GATAGATAGATAGATAGATAGATAGATAGATAGATAGATAGATAGATAGATGATAGATAGCCTTTGAAAATCTGCCAGAGGGTTAGCTAGTCAGCTATGAGTCAGTTCTGACTCGACAGTACACAACAACAACATATGTATCTTTTAACATTAACTGTAGAATTTGATCTATAGTCTATTTCTCAAAATGGCAAGGAGTAAACTAAAGAACATTACAGTAGGAATTTCATATATGAGATGAAGCTTGATCTTCAGTCATAAATCAGCAACCAGTTCTGCACAGAGAAGGGGTGAAATGAACAATTAATCAAAGTAACGAGACAACTGCTTCAGATAGACAGCTAAATAATTCAGACCTAATCTTTTCTGTACTTCCTGGGTATTTTTATTCCTCAAGACAAAAAATTTCTAGACTCCTTGATTCAGTGTTCTTTGAAGAATCTATTATTTTTTCCATTGCAAAAGTCCAATATTTTCTAATTTCTGAAACAGAGCAACCTTTTCCCTCAAAATGAATACTGTGAAATAGTTATTGTCTATTTATTTACCAGATAGGATTTCTACTGTATAAAAAGTCAAAACATTTTGATACAAATTTGGTTTTAATATGCTTTATTGGAGTATGTTTTACAAAATGGAAAGGCCATGGTCTTATTTCTAACAAGAAATGTGTGCTGCACTTTTACTCAGAGTAACTTTGCTCCATTCTCTTTGTTGGATGCTCTCTTTTTCCTGTTTAAGATATAATATGTTATAATTATAGTAAGGCAAATAATTCCTATCAAACCAAGTGCTGTCAAAACTCCTTTCATTATAAGACAATCTCTGGCAAGTGCAGGAGCAGGGTTCTGGGAAGTAAACAGAGATGTCTGGACAATGTTAGAAACAACAGACTTTAAAGAGTTTCTGTCAATTGATCGTATTGCCATATATATTCTGTTACTTTCTTGTGTTTCTCCATCAGATTGATGTTCAGGCTCCATTGTTATTCTCTTTGGTAAGAATGTAAACATCTCCTTGATTCCAGCTTCCTGAGGACTGAGCTCTGATGTATTCACTAAAATGGCATTATCAAAGTCATCTTGAATAGTTTGTAGACTTTTACTCATTCTTAGTTCATAGCTTGTAGCTGAAAATAAGAATACATAAATAGGAATTTGAAGCAAACACAATTTCTTAAGTTATTAGAAATGACTAATGAAAATAGTAACAAATCAAAGTAAGAGTAAGGGTAATAAGAAATTTTGCATGTGAATAAAACTTTAAAATACTACATAAAGACTCTGAGTCTAACAAAAGGGAAGAGTTAGTCAAGTTCCTTGAATAGTAAGATTCAAATTACAGATGTTATTTTTTTCATAGATTATTTTATAATTTTAAAGGGTCCCTACTGGCAAAATGCATATGATGAAAGATAGAGAATTCAAAGCCACCAGTTTTTTTTTTGGAGGAAAAGTCTCCCTGAATAAAAATTTACAGCCTCAGAAGCTCAATAGAGGGTTGTCACAAGATAGAATGCACTTGATAGCAATGGGATTTATCTGATTCTATTCATAATGCTTCAAATACCTATTTTATCAAACAAGATTATTGCCCACATTAAAAAAATAAATCAAGATTGGCAATACAAAGACTGAAAATTGCTGTGTTTAAAGTCTAACTCTACAGTTGTTGTTAGGTGCTGCTAAGTTGAGTAGAGCTCATAGTGACCCTTTGAACAAATGATCTTAACTAACCCTCTTGTATCCTGGGCTGATTCTGACATACTTGAGCTCATTGCTGATCAATAGTACTATAAATTTTCTTTATCTTCTTTTAATATAGTGGCATAATTTATACTAGTGGGCATCTTCCAATAATATTAAGATTGTAAGCCTCTAGTTCTCTCTTTAATATGTCACTATATTTCTACAAGGGTGTCCGGGTGGCCTAGTCCTACTCTATTGTGCTGCTGGCCCAGAGATAGCACTTCTCTGGCAGTTTGGATTCACAGGTAGCTTTGAAGGAAAAAAGGCAGGCAATCTCCTCCTATGCAATTTGTTGATGTTGTTGTGTACCACTGAGTCAGAACGGAATCATAGCTGACCCTGCAGTGGTTTTTTATAGGGAGTAAATTGCACGGGAGGAGATTGTCCATCTTCTTTCTTCAGAAAATTAGGTGAATTTTAATTGTGTGCTTTTGAGATTACAGCACATCTTCTTACCACTATTGTCGTGTAACATAGAGAAGGAACCAACCCATAGCTGATCCTCCAGCAGGTTTTCAAAGGCATTTAATCACACAGGAGGAGATTGCCCATCCTTCTCCTGTGGAGCAGCTGGTGGCCTCAAATTCTGTGCCTTTGGGATTGCAGCACAGCTTCTTGCCGCTAGGCCACCAGAGGTGGTAAGGAATTATGCTACCAACCCAAAGGACTGAATGTCCTTTGAATCCACCAAGGCCTCCGTGAGAGAAGGATGAGCAATTTACTCCTTTGATTTGTTGTTGTTGTTATGTGCTATCGAGTCGTTTGCGACTCATAGCGACCCTATGTTCAACAGCCCTAAACCATGCTCTATTCTGTGCCAATCACGTTGCCTCTGACACACCCATCCCGAGTACCCCAGTCACTGAATCAATCCACCTCATAGAGGGTCTTCCCTTCCTGTGCTGTTCCTCTACCCTACCAAGCATGATGTCCCTCTCCAAGGACCTGTCTCTCCTTCCAACGTGTCCAAAGTGTGTCAGATGAAGCCCCAGAATCCTTGCCTCCAAGGAGTAGCCTAGTTTAACCCTCTCTAGGATGAATCTGTTTGTTTTCTTGGCAGTCCATGGTACATTCAATACTCTTCTCCAGCACCACAGCTCAAAGGCATCAATGCTCCTTCTATCCTCCCTAGTCATTGTCCAACTCTCTGATGCATAACAAGTGATCGCAAAAACCATGGCCTGTATCAGGCGCACCTTAGTCTCCAGAGAGACACCGTTGCTCTTGAGTACTTTAGAGAGGTCCCTAACAGCAGACTTTCCCATCGCGATATGTTTTTTTTATTCTTTATTTCCTGGCTGCTGGTGCCAAGAGTGTTGACTGTGGAGCCGAGCAAACTGAAGCTGTGAACAATCTCAATCTCTTCACCATCCATCCTGATGGATTGGTCCAGTGGTGAGAATCTTTGTCTTCTTGACATTGAGCCTCAGTCCATACTGAAGGCTGCAGTCCTTGACCCTCTGAAGTAAGTGCCTTTGATTTAGTGCCTCTGAAAACCCTCTGGAAGGTAAGATGTGAGTTTGTTTAGACTTGGCACACAACAACAAAGTCACTAGAGTCTTAAAAACCTAAAGGAGAGTCAATTATGAGTCTACTGCACTGAGTTTTCATTTCTGCATTTCTAAGGCAGTAGGAATGTTATTGTTGTGTACCATTGAGTCAGAACTGACCCATAGCTAACCCTCCAGTAGGTTTTCAAAGGCAGTAAATTGTACAGGAAGAGATTTCCCATTCTTCTCCTGTGGAGCAGCTGATGAATTCTAATTGCATTTCTTTGGGATTGCAGCACAGCTTCGAATCACTAGACCAACAGAACTCCCTTATGCAGGTCACTGTGAGTCAAACTGATTGGAGTGTAGGGACGACATGTGAAGTTACAACAATTTACACTGCATGTCAAGCATGTACAGTCTAAAGTTTGTTCAATCACTGCCAATCTTCAGACTTTTAATTAGGAGAATATTTAATTTAGGATGTAAAGTATTTTACAGAAGAAAAACCCTAGATTGTGCTAAAATAATTTAATAGTAAAGCTATAGTAGTAACAACTTCCCAGCACAGAATCTTTTATAATTAAGAGGCCTTCTGTTGCTAATATTCTCCCAAGCAATTCCTGTCTCCCTGGAGACAAGAAATGGAAATACTTATGGAGATAATTAGTATCTTCCTGCCATTTAAGAAGGTACTTACAACACTTGTGCTCACTCACCAAAGCAAAAGGGGAAAATAATAGAGAGAAACCCTACATATAAGTGGACATGAACAGTACAAAGCCATGTTATTCAAGGGTTAGCTGTAAAGTATATGCAAGTTACAGGTTTGAGCCCCTAGCTCCAGTATTGCTTAAGGGTCAACTGTATATATTACCCTGTTTGCAGAAAGATTAACTATGTCTGGCATTTAGAAGTACGTGCTTTGTAATGTAGAACCAATCACTGGTACATGTGTTTCTGATTCCAGACAAGATTTCTATGTGATATGTGTCTGTTTACTTGGCCCTCTTCAATCCTGGGGGGATCCATATGCCCTTTTTCATGGACTCCAAGATTTAAGACCTTATTAACAACTCAAGGATTCCCATGACAATCTCTTGCAACATTGACAACTCTGGCCTCAAAGCTGTGGTTATCCAATAGACCTCCAGCATAATTATAAGGAATTCCATCGCCTGAACAACTACGTAATGAAACTGGCAAACTTACCATGGCCCTGGTCAAAGTCTTCTCCTGGCGCTGTCCAGAATAGAGTCACCTCATCCTCTGAGGTTATAGCCTCCAGATCAATAATTTTGCAGGGAGGGAACACATCGGGATGGGGGCCGTTTGGAACTCCCAGCACTGAAAAGGAACCGCCTGAACTTACTCTGCTGAAGCCCCACTTCTGCTTTTCCTCACTCCTGCTCATTGATTTTCTTGGAGCATTCATCTGAATATTACCTGAGACAAAAAAGAAAAGAACAGCCAGAGCACCAATTAGAAATATCTAAAATACCTTAGGTTGTTCTTGGTAGATAGTTAAGAAAGTTTGTAAATCTTTTCCCCAACTGTTTTTAAAATTGCTGATTTTTGCTTCCAATTCATCCATTAACATACTTAATATAATTTTGTTGAAGTCATATGCTACAATAATAATTAAGGGCAAAACATAACCCTATCCCTATCTTCATGGAATTACAATAAAATTAATAAACATATAGTTAAAAATGAAATAAGACCAGCAATTCCACTACTGGGAATATACACCAAAGAGAACATAACTGACATGCAAGCAGATATATGCACACCCATGTTTATAACAGCTTTGTTCACAATAACAAGGAGTTGGAAGCAACCTAACTGCCCATCGACAAATGAATGAATGGATAGAGAGCTGTGGTATATTCACACAATGGAATACTACACTGCATTGAAAACCAAGGAACTCATGCAATATTATTCAAAATGGGTGACCCTGGAGGGCATGATGCTGAGTGAAATATCTCAGTCAAAAAGGACAAACACTGCATAGTGTCTCTGCTGTAGAACGGGACTGACAGCAGGGTTGGGGTAAGAATGAGAAAAACTGGATAAATTATGTATACTGCATTGAAACAGATGAGGGAGAGAACAATTTAAAAGCAATATATTATAGGGCATTATGATTATCATAAGAGTCCAGAATGAAGGTTGCAGAGTGGAGTATACTCGGGGTGGGGGTGGAGGGGTATGGGGGATTGTATACCAATGGAATTTTTCTTTTACTTTTCAAA